TGCAAGCTTGCTTAATTCGTTTGCCTGACGTCCTCGCCCGTAACCACCACTAGCACCATGCCCGTGAGGCTTTTTAGACAGCTTTAGAGGCACACCACTTCCATGGCCACAGTCGTGGACACCTGGTTTATGGTTCTCTCCTTTCCTAACCCCCTCTCGACTTAATTGTCTTCTGACCCCATCATCGCCCTTTTCTTGCCACCATTCTTCAACTGCACCGAACATCATTCGACGGACATCTGCAGCTCCATCATCGCCGAAATCTCGGTGAGCGGGGTGATGGAAAACACCAGTAATGATCCTGTTTAATGTGCGGCTCGCATCAACGTTCGTATCATCCCAGCACTCCATTATCTGAGGGACAACCCATTTAACTACTTCCTGAGCAATCTTACCCGCCGGTTCGTTCAGCAGGTTAGAGAAATGATCCTTTGACAACATAGAGTGAGTAGGATCAGTTGCGTCATCGTCATTGAAGATATTGAGCTGTTCCTTCTTGCTGCTTTGGATAATTTCGGAAGAGCCAGTTTCCAACTCTGCTTTCACTTGATTGATGATTGGTAATACGTAGGGAGCAAGGACACTAAAAACGAAAACGTTAATCTGCTCTTGAATCTGCTCAATCAACTCTGGAAGAACGGGAATGTTTTCAATGGCCTTGTTGATTGACTTCAGGATGTTGTCGTGCCATTCTAGAACCGGGTATATCTGTCGGGTAACATCTTGAAGGTAGCGAGTCCACTCTTCAGGTTCGTGTGGTGTAATATTTTCTTGCTGTGCCTGGGCTTGTGCATTGCTCTGGAATTCGTCCATCTTTCCTGACTCGTTTCCACCGATAATGCCTGAAGGAATTTTAGCTAATAGCTCTTGGAGGAAGCTTTTAGTATTGCCTTGGTTTTGAGTTTCCTCGATAGCACCCTCGAGGCATTGAATCTCAGATTGTGTTGTTTTGTCAGAGAATTCTCCCATGACTGAGTGAAGAAAGTCCACTCCGCCAAAAGTTCCAGTAACAATTGGATAAACATCGTGCCGACACCCAGGAAGCTGGATCATAGTATTGCGACCAACATGGGGAAATACGTCTCGTTCACCCATCTCAATCAGACTCAATTCAGTATAGTTTGAATGAGCGGCGTAGTCCTCCAAGCAGTGTAGGCCGGTACCCAGCAAGCGAAGAGCTTCGTAGAGATCTGCCTTTTTACCTGAACGCGCATACTGTCTACCGAGCTCGATGCAGTCTCCAAGAACTCTCCTAACTAGGCCAGCTGAGGTATCAATTCCGATGTCCTCAGTAGCAATGTAGTGTTTCAGACCTATTAAATATCAGTCAACTCCATCACGGTCTAATTAGGAAAGCTAGTCTTATCCGTACCAGTTCGTTCATCAACAGATAGTTCCCTTCGTTTATCCACCGGTCCGCGTAGACGAGGGTCATAACGCCTTGCATCGGCCCCATCGGCGTATCCTAGCGGATTGTCAATGTGCTCAGTGGGTTGGTAGCATCCAAGACGGTCAGTAGTGACTTCGAACTCGTCAACACCATATCTTGATGGAACGATCATTGTCAGTTAAGAGGTATATTCACGTGTCTAACAATGAAACAACCAACATACCCAAAGGTTAAAAAGCCCAGGATCCAGATGAGGATACGAACAGCCTCAGCACTGACGTGTTTTACAGAACCAACATCCACAGCCTGACTGTAGTCTCGAAGCCAGTTACCGAAGTAGACGTGCATCACATCCATCTTGGAAAACTTTCGGCCACCAGCAGCGCGAGCCATGTACAAAGTCAACAGGACATCTTCGATATCTCCGTGACGGAAGTTGACACCCTCGATTTTTGAGATGGAGGCAATGTTACCGGCTCCAAAGGCGGCTGTCGGACTCGCAAAGACAAGGAAAAGAAGGGCAGTGGTGAGAATCAGCGGGCTGAGAGAAGTAGAAGAAGCCATGAGGGGCGCTCTGCGGCTATGTCGGGGTCTCTCTGTCTGGGGATCTATGGAAGGGTCTCACTGTCAGCTGTCGGTCTACCCGGTGTCTTTGTAGTGCTAAGATGCTGAGATGCTAGTAGGGAGTTTCTGTAACCAGAATAATATATAAAACTAGGTAGCTGTCAAGCCGCACATGCGGGGGGAGGGGTGAGCAGGTCAAGCCAACCTAGAGGAGAACGAGTTGACCGCTGTCGAATAACTAGCAGACCGTCTTGAATTTTAACGAGGGTTGGTGCCTGGCGAGCCCGTGGTCCTCTGCAGCGATGGCGAGATATCCTTGCCCCTAGAGGTCTTGTTCCAGGAAATAGAAGAGGTAAACATTCACTTCAGGCGTTTTGAGAATGTTTTCTTTGCCCCGCGAAACAAGATGGAGCTTCACTGCCGAGATCACGTTGTCGCGGACCCATGAACGCGATCGAGACAGAGACCGGGGAACTAACTACAAGGGAAGGCTATGAGGAAAGATTTAGTGGATATACTTAGCTTCAACGCAGCAGCACGATAAAGGTCGCCTCGAGCCCCTTCATGCGCTCAAGATATGCGTTCAGCTCGGCATCGTCATTAATAACTACTGGATGTTGTTGGCTACGGCTACGGTCTGCCGTATCAATGCCTTCGATTTTCACTACCTCCTGTGCATTCTTGATTCGGGATAAGATGGTGCTGCGCAATCCAGCTACAGACGGAATTGTGAGCTTATCAATCCACGGATCGGGGTCTTCGAGACACGGTGCAGAAGACTGTGGGTGTATGTGGAAGTACAAGGGCCTCGGGTTCACTGGAGCGTGAAGGCTAGGGTCAATGTAACTGAGAGCATGCGAGACGGCAGTGACTGCGGCCGTGGCAGGCTCGTGTTTTGAACCCACTATCCGGGAAGAATGGCCGTCTGTGGCGGCTTGTAGTAGAGAAGGATTGACCTGTGTATCATCCGCTTCGCCAGGGGGAACGGTAGACGCACTCGCAAGAGCTTCAGAGGCAAGAGTACTGATGCGGTTCGGGATGCAAGTGACAGTAGACCTGGATGGTGTTGACGTTGGAGGCGGTTCCTGACTAGACGATGATGGCTTTGGTGTACTGGCTCCGGGATGCGGTCTCTTTCGGGAGGAATCGCGTTTGATCTGGTCATCTCGGAGTCTTTTCATCACGTCTCGACAAAGCACCTCGACGGCCTTAAGTCTCGTTGCATGTTCAATATCTGTGCCGGGGGAGTTCAGGATATGCTGAAGGAGTTCGGATTCTCGGATCCACCGGTCCTTTAACTCCATCCACTGTTCATTGCCGGCTTCAAGCTTGCTAGTGATATGGCTCGCCTTGAGCACCTCGTAAAATGCGTTTCTAACCTGCCTGCTTTCCTCAGGGTTTATCCCTAGTGCATTTTTGGCCTCCGCAATTGTCATTCGTCGTTCCAGGGTGCGCATCCGTTTGGTAACATCAGTGCAAACGACGTCAAGGGCTAAAGCTTTTGCATCGAGGAGGACGGGCTCACCCCAGAATACTGCCTGTAGGTGCGTAGACTCATTGATAAGCCTATCCTTCGCCATTTGCCATTTCTCAGGCCCGGCAAGGGTTTTCTTGATAAATCCGGCCTCCTCGCATATACGCTGGAATGCCTCCCGGACTCCACGATAACTGTCGTTATCCAGGCTCAGATACTTCTTGCTCTGGTCTATTGTCGTCTCTGATGGAAAGCGAGGAGGACCAGGAGGGTCTGGTGGTAGTCCTGCCCATTCACGAGTCCGCCTTCGACGTCTCTTGGTAGCCCATCTTTCCTCGCTTTCAGCTTTCAACTTCTCTAGTCTCTCCTTGCGCTTAGCGGCAACGTTCTCTGGCACATCGGAGACAGCATGAGGGGCATCGGCATCGGTACTGGTACCGATACCACCACCTACCCCATCAGCTCGTTCTCGCATCTCTTGGCTGCCATCTGTTGCTGCTACCTGCTTGTGTGCGTCTCTCTGAAGCCGTATCAGTTCATTCTCTAGCTGCTGTGCCTCATCACCGGGAGCTGGTGAAGCTGAGCGTGCTTCTGGAGTAGTAGTAGCGACACTGGCAGGTCTCATGCCATTGGGAACCCGTAGTAGCCACCTATATTTGGCCCGTACTCTCATGACTTCGCGCTCCTTGACTTCGTATCCTTCTTCATTGAGAATGCGAATCATATCGCGCTGCGATGTATTGTTCTCCCATAGCTGCTTGATGCGCGCCACAAGCTCTGCTCTTTTATAGGCCGGATTCTGCTTTGAAGGAAATCCCCAGCGCTTGAACTGGGTCTGGAATGCTCGTTTACTACCAGCCTGTCAGCATAACTCTGCGTATCATTGAAATTTTACAGCAATCAGCCTCACCTCGGGGAGAACTGGTGGAATGCCCGCATGTACTCGATAATGTCCTCCAGCGGCTTCTTCTCCTCAATGTACATCCTGTAACAAATATCTCTCTTGCCCTCCCAATCATACACCATTGTGGCGACTCGACGCCGGCGCCGGCGCCCTCCCTTGCTCCAGTCCTCGTCCTTGATATGCCCTCGCTCTGCCACTGTCCTCCTGCCCCCCTCTCTCCCTGTCTTCTTGTTTCTCTGTCTCCCGGTTTGTCTCTGGCTGGCCTGGTCGGGATGTGCAAAAAAGCTGCACTTTGTGGCGATCTCGTACGCCGTATGAAAATTCTGGTCTTCGACGCTCACCGTAGCTGAGATTACGTAATTTACCACGTGAATTCAACAATCACGAATGACGTCATCCCGGCGCTTATTTTTACTAGGTTGTCAAAATACACAAAAGCCTAAGTCAACATCGGCGAGATATAGAGAGGAAAGATGGAGAAGAGCCAATTGATTCACTTGAAAGTGTCGACAGTATCGGAGGTAAAACGCCAGCAAGGCCCGCTATACATGCTCATACTTGACGAAACAAACAAAACACCAACGTAGGCGAGTAAAAATAGGGCAGGACGCAAAAAAAAAAAAAAAAAAAGACACTCGGAAGATGCAAGGAACAAAATCAGGGCTCGAATGCTGCTGGATCTCACCACCCTCATGGGAGATATCAAGAGGCGAGGGCAAAATGAAACAAAACAATGGGGAAACAAGCACCATGCAGGGACTGGTTGGGACGAAGCTCTGTTTGTTGAGCGCTGGTTGCTACTGATGCGCTTAGCAAGGGAGAGGGCCACGGAACAAGGCAACAAGGAACAAACAGTAGAGAACAAGGGGCAAAAAACGAGACTGAAACGAGCAGAATATGCCAAAAAACGATATCGTTTCCTTAGACCAAGCCCGTCCGGCAGACCCAGCTCTCAAAGTCATCTCATGAAAAGTAAAAACAAAAAGAACCACTAACAAGGTTGTCTCGGTGCGTTGCGGCGTGTGCATTTGTGAAAATGCTCTAGTTAGCCTACTTTTTTCAGCTTTTTTCCTATCTTGAATATCTTAGTGCGTAGCCAAGTGAGGAAGAGAACCCAGGCGCTCTTTGGGCTCTTTGGCTTCCATGTGATCTTAGCGGCGTCGTCGGCGGTATAAGAAGAAGTTGAGTTCTTCCTGCGGCTGTCTTTCTCACTCAGCTTTGAAGACCGGCGCAAGGTAAAGTCAGAGATGGACCGCCTTCCACCCGTGTAACTGTTGTAGGAGTTTTCACGCTCCAGCCGACGGAGACGGCGCTGCTCCTTATCGAGGGCTTTGGAATTCTGTTCATCACGTTTCCTATTTTTGGCTGCCTCCCTGTCCTCGAAGGCCTGACGAGCTGCCTGCACGGCTATGGCGCGGGCGGCGGGATCTACAGTGCTAGGGCGGCGGGATCTCGACCGCAATCCGAATTCTAATGAGTTCCTGGAGAGAGGGGCCGTGTCCCGGGGAGAAGGGCTGTTGTTGTTGTTGTTGATGTTATTGTTATAATTATTGTTGAAGACACGACCGAAGGAAGTAGAGCGGGTCTTTGTAGGCGGGTAAGTAGTAGTAGTCTCACTTTCTATTTGGATAGAACTCCGGGGTTCGTTGTAGATGCTGGGAGAAGGAGAGCCAGGGAAGAGGTCCTGGCTGGTGGGAACAGGGTCGTCAAAGTCTGTCACACGCTGTATACCCTCGAGGTGCGAGTCGGTGCTGGCAGTGGCAGAGATCTGATTTGATAGTCCCAGCGGTGGCGTGTAAGGACGGGGAGTCTGGCGCATGGGATGGACATACTGGCCACCGGGGCGAGGAAGACTTCCGAACGAGAGCTGGGACGCACCGCTGGCCGAACGGTAATGACGGGCGACGCCGAGAGAGCCAGTTGTAGAGCAGTCGTCGGCACCGCGGTCCCTGCCGCCCAGGCTGTTGTATATTCCCAGGCCGTTGTTCTCGCTGAGGGAGACAGACAGATCTATGCCGGTACCGGATCGTTTTCGGTGGGGGATACCTATCCTGCCGAGGGACGACATGGTCTGAGAGGACGAGTCTGAGCAGCGAGAGAGCTTGCGAGCACCGTATCCGTGTGCATGGGTCTTGTATTGAGGACGTTGAGGCAGCGACGAGTCGAGGCGTGTGGAGGATGAAGCAGCTAAGACAGCACCGCCATGCGAGCAGGACGAGGTAGCAGAAGAGACAGCAGCGCCGCCCGGGACGTCGACGTCATCGTGGTCGCAGGCAAACTGTGGAAAGGTAGCTGGTTCCTGTGGTTTACTATGGCAACGAATATAAGCGAAAAAGGTTCGAATGTCAGCGATAACAGACTTCGGCAGGTGAAGATGGACGACGGGATATAACAACAGGAGAGAGAGCCCGGGAAGACGGAGGGGAGAGACGGAGAGAGAGAGCGACGGAGCGCAAACGAACCTTGCCACGACTCCTACAGCGGCCGCCTTCCTGAGCCTTGTCATTATCTGGCCAGAGACGAGAGGCTCGACGGGTTCAGCCATGGGGACCCTCGTTCTCATCGACTGCGGCCGTCCTGGCTGAGCGTTGCTGGCTGGGCTGTCTGTCTCGCGGTCTCCCGAGCGATGCAGCGCCCCGGACAGCGGCAGTGCGATCACTCAGCCGGGTCCAGTGGCTATAAGGGGTGTCTATGGTATGAAACAAGCATGTTCAAGTCGTCTTCGGCAGTGATATATATGTGTGGTTGGGCGTGTTGTTGGGGCCGTCGTTGTGGCCGTGGGCGCCCGGGGCTTAACTCGTTACTCTAGGTAGTTAGATAGATACAACGACAAGCCCGGTGCAACAGCAACGAGAGAGGGAGAGGGAGAGGGAGAGAGAGGAGACCGCCTCTTCGACAGGCTGGCGGGCTCTGACAGGTGTCACAGGAGGAGACAGAGAGGAGACAGCGAGGGTGGAGGAAGCGAAGCGGCGGAGAGAAAAGGCCGGCGTGATCAGCTCGACATACTGTACAATCCGTGTCGCCCGCCTGGGTGTGTTTGGGATCCTCTGGTAGTTAACTCGCTCCTACGACAACGACGACGACGACGACAACAACAACAGCGACAACGACGAAGGACACGGACTGGCAGGCTCAACTACTACTAGTTATACACAGCTAATTAGATGTATGCAGCCGACGACGGGTCTCACATGCGGCCTCCTCTGGGTGGCGCCTCTCTCCCCTCCCGCCGAGGAATCGCATTTCTGCGCCTTGCATGCAGAGCAGGCTGGACGAGCCACCCGCAGGCCGAGCAGGACGAGCAGCGGACGACGCAGAAGGGAATCAGAGCGACGGAACTGCTCCTCGCTTTCTCCCTTGCTAGCTGGCTATCGCACAGGCCGGAGGGGGAACGTAACTAAGGATGTAACTCGCTACATGCCAGCCAGTGGATGCCCGGCAACGACACAGCAGACGGCCAGACAGCAAGGCCGGGCAGGCCGGGGACCCAGGTCGGAGATGCATCTCAAGGGCAGGGAGAAGAGGCCTGGAACCCACTGCCGTCGCCACAGCGGCAGGGCTGGCCTCTGGACAGACATCGACTATACTTAATTATACACACCTAACACTTTAACTACTCGACTCAGGCAGGTCGGGAGAGGACACGGACAGCCCTATGAAACAGACAGACAGGTGGGCGGCTTCGAGAAAGCGACTGCTGGCCACTCGCGGTACACCCTCTGCTGCGTCTGGCCTCGCAGGAAAAGGGCTGTTCACTGCATCCCGGAAGAAGAAAAGAAAGACAGCGGCATTGACTAGTTTATATACTGAAAGAACTTATATCTATAGTCGGATGGCTATGTACAGAGCGGCTACTTGGTCGATCCATAACCGATTGTCGACTTACAGAGTCACCCGGAAGACAAGCACCTGGGTGTCGACGTTGAAGCCGGACTTGTCTGCGTACTTGAACTTGCCGAAGTTCAGATGGCCTGGTTCATGGTCAGTCAGTATAATTATAAATTAGTCACTCGGAGGCAGAAGAGAAGAAGAGAAGAAGAGAAGAAGACGTACCGTCCTGGGTGATGTAGTCGTTGTCACTAAAGGAGATCAAAAAGTACTCATTCTTGCCGTTGTCCTCAAACTCCTTGGACGGATCGACTGGGACAAGGGCAAGGCTCTCCCACTTCTCGTTTAGTAGATGCTCGTCCTGCGCGCCGCCGTTGTGCAGCCTGAACTTGCCCAGCTCGGAGTTGAGGTTGTAGTCTACGAACGAGCAGTAGTCCAGCGGGTTGATGCCGTCGTCCAGCACGCCCTCGCTCGAGGCGATCGAGCCGTCCGCCTTGTCGTTGCTCTTCGACTTGATGTCCGTTGTCTGGGTCGACTTGGAGATGATGTCGGCATGGCGGTAGACGGACTCGGTGTACTGGGCCGCCCGGCCTGCGTTGCTGTCTCGGGACAGAATGAGAAAGTCGCCCGTTGGTAGATAGTGGATCTCGGACTGCGAGGCCGTGATGGTCGCCTTGCTTGGGTCTTGCTCGTGCGGGTCGACAAAGGTCGCCAGCGTCACCACGTACTCGTGGGTGTACTTGGGCGTGGTTCCGGAGATGTCATACTCCAGCATGCGGGCCTGCTTTCTGTACCGTTTCTTCGGGCCGCCGTCGTTATTCAGCGCAGACTGGATTAGCACGTACAGCGTCTTGCCGTCTCGTGAGATGGTCAGTCCTTCGAAGCCCTGGTTGTTGTTGCGTCCTGTTTCGGGGTCCTCTGGGTCCGTCTGGCGATCGGGCTCATAGATTGGAGGGGAGGCGGCGCTGAAGCTGACCTTGCCGTTTCGACGGGGGATGTACGCATCTGGAGGCTGGATGGCCTGCAGCATGCGGCCTTCCCGCGAGAACTTGTACACATAGGGGCCGTACTCGTCAGAGACCCAGAATGCACCGTCGTTGCCAATCACAATGCCCTCGGAGTCCAACGAGATGCGTCGTCCACCTGCGCCGCTGCCGCCGAATCCATCTCCAGGGTAAGTAGCCACTGGCATTCCGGGGAAGCCTGGGTAGCTGATGTTTCCAGAGAAGTCAGCATCCAGCCCGGTCATCGGAGTGCCGTCAGGATCTGTCAGCAGCAGCGTGTCCAGGAGCTTGATCTCAAGATTGGGGTTGGATGGGTTGGAGACGGTGGCACCGGGTGCCAGAGTCAGCTTCAGGCCGAGCTTCTGGATACGGCTCTGCACGTTCAGCGTGCCCTGCGTGTTCCTGCAGTTTTTAGTTAGCCAATAACTATGTTCTTATTCTTTCCGTACTTCGTAGTACTTTTGTCGACGTACCAGCCGCGGTCGGGGATAGCCCAGGCAATACCCTCATAGGTACCATCTGAGTTCTTCTTCCACGATGCCTGCTCGATAGCGATAGAGCTTCCAAAACCCCCAAGGGTATCTCCGTACTTGTCAACAGCATTCGATGGGACAGTGCCGTATCCAACGAGGCCGTTGTACTGGTATGTATGTGAACCACACTTGGTCTGCTTGACAATGGGTAAAGAGGTCTCCGCGCGATGGCCCTTCTTTGGCAGGCCATTGACCGTGGTGGCCAACAGGCCAGAGACAGCGCACAGCGAATATATTAACGACGATACCATGATGATGGACACGACACAGCTTGTTCCTCGATTGAGCAGTAGCTGTCTATGGCCGGTTTCATCGTTCGGGGAAGACGAGCTCAACGTTATATATCTGGCCAGCCGCCTCCGATCTGCCTTGAGCAGGACAGCAAGCAAGCGAGCTCTCAAGCTCCCGCCCGCCAATAATAATATTGAATGCGATCGATCTCTCCCCTCCCCCTCGGCCCTGATCGTCGACCCATGCTGGCTGCCGGGGCTGCCGCCTCGCACAGTGGCAAGGCTCCTCACGACTCCGGCGGCAGCGCAAGGACCAGACAAGCATTTTGCCCTTAAGCTGGCGAGTCAGCGGCCGAAGATGGGACCCGACTGTGCTTGTCCGAGGCGTTTTTATAAAGCCAGAATGTCGACAGCGAGCAAGGTGGATAATCCGGGGATGCCTTGATGCAGGTCGTGCGATGCTTGACAAGCGCCATTGGGCCGGCTCGTTAGTTAACTCACCAAAGACCGTCCGTCCCCAGAGAGAGTGAAAAAAGAAAAGAAAAGAAAAAGAAAAGGGGAGCGAGCGACTTCAAAGCCGAGAAGCTCCGTCTTTTGTTTCTTATACACATTTATGCACGTAACATTCAATAAGAACTACTCTCTGTGGACTGTTTGTAGTCTCTTGCAGTTTTGGACTAGGGTGATGGTGAGCTGCGGTTGCTAGCTCCTCAACAAGTAGTTAACTAACTAGTTGACGGATAACGAGTGTAGTTCAACCGGGGTCAACTAAGTCGCTAGCTTGAAGAACCATTGCTTTTTGGATATTATTCGGCTGTTTTGTCTGACTGACCGGTAAACTAGATACAAAGTTGACTGTGTGGTAGAAGCAAGGTCAGGGCCATCATACCACTGGCTATTTATCACGCTTAGGAGATCAATCTCTGGCCTGTTCCCAGGTAGTTGGAACTTGCGGGAACTGCTTTGCGCTGAGCCCCAGATCTTCGAAAACTTTATCGCTGTCTGTACCAATACCATTGAATTAATTGTAAGTAGTTTGTTAGCAGGCTTTGCAAGGGAAAACGATATACTCAAACAAACACAAAGAAAATTCAACGTTATAGGGAGCAAGGTTGGGCAGACCACTGCGAAATCTATGACTAGGGAACAAGGGTAAGCTTACCGTTCAGCGCTTCAGCACGTATTTCATCCTCACCCTCAAGATGCTCGAGTTCCTCACCTGCATCCTCTTGTCCCGGGGCTTTTTCTTCGGTCTTACCTCCCTTGCCTAGGTGGCCTTGCGCTTCGCCTAGCATCATAAACTGTGCATTCGGATAATCAATGAATTTCGGTTTAAGAGGAACCCAGCGGAGGTCGCGGAAGTCATCTATCACACTGCAAGAAGAAATCATAAAAAACAAAAAAAAAGGAGCAAGGCGTCAGATATATCTATGCAATGAGCAGCGAGGAGAGACGAGCGTGGACTGACCTTTGTGGATAGTCTGGGGGCTTTGGCAGCCTTGCACTGGATGGGCCAGGGTACTTGGGATTCTTCGAGGCCACAATGAAAGAGCCTTTCTCTCTTAAACCAAAATCTTTCTGAACCTGAGATAACTCAGTTGGTATTGTCAAAATATACGCCAAGTGTGAGGTTCTCGTGGTCGAAGTGAGTGCATAAACGCCTTCGGCTAACGGGGTAGCAGTAGGCGAAAATTGCGTGCCTTTCGTTTTGGTCTCATATTCTTCACCCAAAAACGATTCTTTCAGGGTCTTCAGATCGACCCCAGCTTTCTCAACGAACCCCATGTACTTCTCGTGGCTTGATGTGGGAACTGTTTTCTTAGGCAACAAGAGAAGTCGACAGTTGTTTACATCCCCGGCAAGCCCGGCACTTAGGTTAGCCTCAATGGGCTGAGGGCGGAGAACAATAAAGGTACGGGCAACTTCATCGACACCTTTTGGTTCTTCAATCCCAACTTTACCCCGGAAGAAGAAATATATGATCCCCTCCTCCATAATGTTGGGTGGTACACTCTCGCCCCGGGAACTTTCTGGTTTTGTGTCTTTGGCAGCTTTTGATTTCTTATTCCCATAAATATCAGAGGGTTTCATTTCACTGGACTCTTCAGCCTCCTCGTCTTTCACATATGCATGATGAGCCTGAGGCCTCTCAGCTTCAGATTTCGTTGGCTCATTTTGCATTGTGGTATCCTTCGCAGGCTCCTGTTTTATTACTCCTTCATCTGCGGATGTCTTGATCTCATCCTTGGTATGCTTCTCTCGCTTTGGTTCCGGAATATCTTTCTTAGACGAAGCCTTGCGCTTTTGGCCTGCTTCGGTCGATTTCCTCCTGCCCTGTTGTGCATTTTCATGCAGGGCTTCATTTGCCTTCGCTGCTGCATATCGGGTAGAGGTGCGAGTTGCCATTGCGGGACTGTGGAGGGAAATTAGGCGATATCGGGCAATTAACTAGGAAGAATATGCCCAACTTGAAGATATTTGTGATCAATTGAACCGCTTTGACTGCTTGGACGAATTTAATGGGCTCTGCGACGGCTGCCTCCTCCTTGACGTCATACCCACCTAGGGTACACCTGGGCACCTGGCAGTTTCCAATCCATAGTTACACATCACGTGCTGGCCAACTTGTTGATGGTCACTGAATATAGTCGGGGGCAAAGCAGTAGAAGTCTATTTCATTCCATTAATTCTGTCCAGTCATCAGCTGGATAGCCTTTGACGTAGCAGATATAGGTCTTGGGTGTCCTGGGTACTGGGAAAATCTGTCATTAAGTCGAGACTTGATCTGGTGTTTGGTGTTGGCCAGTAGCAAGGGCTTAAGCTCCCTGAGGCGTACGGTTATCAATCTAGAATTTCGAGTACTCTGTATCGCGATCTATAACCAGCGCTATTGATCAAGCACAGCCAATTTTGGTACTTAGGAGGTGTTATAGTCGGCCAGCCAAAAGGACAGATGGACAACGGCAAGGGGGCCCGAAACCTCGAGCGCCACACAGTCAAGCAGCCCATACTGTTGTTTCTGGGCTGGAGGGTCACTAAAACCAGGCGTATCCAGCGCCTAAACGTGATATCAAGTTGTAACTCAAGGCATCGTCCCGCCGTCGTTGGTGGAGGTTGATGAAAAGGAGATGCGGCAACCAATAAGAGCCGAGGATCTTGTCGCTTGTAATTACATAAGCAGCGTCCGCCTCAAACCACAAAGTGTCCACGTACAGAAAGACGCAAAGCAACCAACAGCAAAAGGCAAGCTTGTCATCTACTACTACAACAAGCCTTACTGCCGTGCCTGCTCCTACGGCTTGGATATCGATGCTCCGGATCAACTAAACATACCGTATTTTGGTCGGCGCCTAGAGTTTCTCTCCTTCCTGCGGCCTAGGCCAATTCCCCGCGATAACAATGCAGTCCGCCTCTCCAAACGTGCTCACAAAGGTACGCCTCAATGCTCTTGATTTCAACCAGTTTCCTGTATTTATCTCATGCTGATTTTTGTTGTTTGCTACCGCAGTTCGAGTCGAAGTCCTCTAGAGCCAAAGGCCTTGCCTTCCACCCAAAAAGGTCAGCACGAAAGCAATCGCCGACCCACCATATCGAGTGTGAACCTCTATGCTAACCGACCCGAACAGACCATGGCTTCTAGTCGCCCTTCACTCGTCAACTATCCAATTGTGGGATTACCGCATGGGAACTTTGATTGACCGGTTTGAAGAACATGATGGCCCCGTTCGAGGAGTCGATTTCCACAAAACCCAGCCCTTGTTCGTCTCTGCAGGTGATGATTATAAGATTAAGGTCTGGTCATTGCAGAGCAGGAGGTGCTTGTTTACTCTCAATGGCCATCTAGATTATGTTCGAACGGTCTTCTTTCATCACGAGCTCCCATGGATTATCTCCAGCTCCGACGACCAGACCATTCGTATCTGGAACTGGCAGAACCGATCTTTGAGTAAGACCGCTCTTTAACCCTTGCAAAAGGACATCACTGACCTGAATACATAGTTTGTACCATGACCGGACATAATCATTATACTATGTGCGCACAATTCCACCCAAAAGATGACCTGGTTGTCTCAGCCTCCCTCGATCAGACAGTGCGTGTCTGGGATATCTCCGGGCTTCGAAAGAAGCACTCTGCCCCTTCTAGTACAATGGCATTCGAAGAGCAGATGGCTCGCTCAAACCCTGCTCAAGCAGACATGTTTGGAAACACCGACGCGGTTGTTAAGTTTGTTTTAGAAGGCCATGACCGTGGTGTGAATTGGGTTGCATTCCACCCTACTCTGCCCCTGATTGTTTCTGCTGGCGATGATCGCCTTATAAAACTGTGGAGGATGAGTGGTATGTTTGGTACACTATGTGGCTCTAGAATGTTCCTACTAACTTGCTCTAGAAACGAAGGCATGGGAGGTGGACACTTGTCGTGGCCATTTTCAGAATGCGTCTGCTTGTATTTTCCACCCACATCAGGACTTGATTCTGTCTGCTGGTGAGGATAAAACTATCCGTGTCTGGGATTTAAATAAGCGAACTGCGGTTCAGTCATTCAAGCGGGATGCAGACCGCTTCTGGATGATCGCAGCCCACCCAGAAATTAATCTGTTTGCTGCAGGACATGACACTGGTGTCATGGTCTTCAAACTTGAGCGGGAGCGTCCAGCCTCCGCTTTATACCAGAACCAAGTTTTCTACATAACCAAGGACAAGCACCTTCGCTCTTATGACTTTACGAAAAACACCGAGTCTCCGGCCATGCTATCTCTCAAGAAACTCGGGAGCCCCTGGGTACCCGCTAGGACACTTTCATACAACCCAGCTGAGCGTGCTATATTGGTCACCTCTCCCACCGATAATGGCACCTATGAACTGATCCACATCCCGCGAGACTCAACTGGAGCGGTAGAACCAACTGATGTGAAGCGCGGGCATGGAAATTCCGCAGTGTTCGTCGCCCGCAACAGATTTGCCGTCTTCACCCAGTCCACACAGCAAATAGATATTAAAGATCTAAGCAACTCTACCACGAAAACGATCAAGGCTCCTCATGGCACAACCGACATCCACTTTGGCGGAACTAGCTGTCTCCTCCTCCTCACGCCAACTTCTGTGGTTCTTCTTGATATCCAACAGAAGAAACAACTCGCAGAGTTGAGCGTCAGTGGTGTGAAATACGTTGTATGGTCCAATGATGGCCTCTACGTTGCTCTGTTAAGCAAGCACAATGTCACAATTGCCACAAAATCCTTGGAACATGTCAGCACCCTGCATGAAACCATTCGAATCAAGAGCGCTTGCTGGGATGATAGCGGTGTGCTCCTATATTCCACTCTTAACCACGTCAAGTATTCCCTCCTCAATGGGTGAGTTATCTGAATAATCCCACTAATCTCATATCAATACTAAATATTTCTAGTGACAATGGTATTGTTTGCACCTTGGACCAGACTTTATATTTAGTCCGTGTTAAAGCTAGAAAGGTATACTGCTTGGATAGAACTGCGAAACCAACTGTTCTCGCCATTGATCCCACGGAGTATCGCTTCAAGCTTTCCTTGGTGAAGAGGAATTATGAGGAGATGCTTCAAATCATCAAGACATCTAGCCTTGTTGGGCAAAGTATCATCTCGTACTTACAAAAAAAAGGATACCCTGAGATTGCCCTTCAATTCGTTCAAGACCCCCAGACTAGATTTGAACTTGCCTTAGAGTGCGGGAACATTGATGTTGCAATCGAAATGGCGAAAACCCTTGACCGCCCCAAGCTCTGGGCCCGACTCGGAACCGAAGCTCTAGCACATGGTAACAATCAGACTGTGGAAATGACATACCAGAGACAAAGGAATTTTGATAAACTGTCATTCCTCTACCTCGCCACAGGTGATCAGGAGAAGCTCTCTCGAATGGCTAAAATCGCCCAGCACAGAGGCGATTTCACCTCGCAATTCCAGAACGCACTTTATCTTGACGATATTGAAGCTCGAATACAGATGTTTAAGGAAATTGATCTTTGTAAGTTTTACGCTGTATATTTAAAGCAACTCTCTACTAACTTTGGTGCTACATAGTGCCATTGGCGTACCTCACTGCTAAAACACATGGATTTGTGGAGGAGGCTCAGTCTATTCTTGAAGCTACCGGCGTTTCTGAGGACCAAATAACTCTTCCAACCCTTGGTGAACCAAAGCCGGCTCCCAATGTTGTTGTTCAAACGTTCAAATCCAACTGGCCTGTGAAAGCCCCTTCTCATTCCTCTTTTGAGAAGGCACTCTTGGGTGAAGTTAGTGGAGCTGATGATGAAGGTGTCAACGGTTTTGAAGACCAAGATGGTGAACGCGAGACCGGTGGTGTCGAGACTGGGCTCGGTGATGAACAAGAGGAGGAAGACGTTGCTGGGTGGGACATGGGGGATGATATCCAAATTGAAGAAGAAGCTGACCTTCTCGGCACCGAAAATGTCGAAAGCGGCCCATCCAGTAGTGAAGCTGAATTGTGGTCCCGCAACTCACCACTTGCCGCTGACCATGTTGCTGCTGGATCTTTCGAGTCAGCAATGCAGCTCTTGAATCGTCAAGTTGGTGCTGTGAACTTTGAACCTTTGAAACCACGCTTCCTCGAGATCTACCAAGCTTCGAAGACGTACCTTCCAGCAACACCCGCTCTTCCTCCAATAATAAACTATGTACGCCGTACTGTCGACGAAACCGATACACGCAGGCTGCTTCCAGTTATCCCCCGAAGTCTGGAGACTATTGCCAGTGTTGATCTGCAAGAGGGCTATGCTGCAATGCGATCGAACAAGCTTCAGGATGGAATCGTGATTTTCCAGCGAATTCTACACTCCATTCTTGTTAACACGGTCTCGTCGGAGGCGCATGTGGCTGAAGCCAAGAAAATCATCTCCACGGCGAGGGAGTATATACTAGCCATGTCGATGGAGCTCGAACGACGAGCTTTACCAACAGACACTCCCGAAAACCTTAAGAGAAGCCTTGAACTCTCTGCCTACTTCACCATTCCAAAGCTCGAAGTGGCTCACCGGCAGCTGGCGCTCATGGCCGCCATGAAATTTGCTTATACCAACCAGAATTTCTCCTCAGCCCTCAGTTTCGCCAACAGGATGATTGCAAACGGTGGTTCGGCCAAACTGCTGGATCAGGTAAGCCCATTCTTTATCCCATCACTCTACCTTTACTGACTTCCAAACAGGCAAAGAAGATAAAGGCTCAGTGTGAAAGAAACCCCCAAGATGCTATTGAAATTGAATTTGACCAATTTGCTGAATTTGATATCTGTGCTGCTTCGCATACTCCGATCTATGGCGGCTCTCCTAGCGTGTCGTGCCCCTATACTGGTACCAAGTATCATGAACAGTACAAGGGCTCTGTTTGCACAGTTTGTAAAGTTTCTGCGGTTGGCGCTCCTGCAAGTGGTTTGAGATTATTTGTTCCAGGACAGCACTAGACTGCATCCTTCTTTTCCTGTCTTGTCTTATTCCATGACTGACTGATTTTACGATGGGAGGAGAATTACTATGACGTTTTATACATTTCCAGGCAAGGCCTATTTAGTTAGAACCACCTGGTCAAATTTGATAAAGTTTTGTTCACTTTTACTATGCCTATTTTTTTTATTTTTATTTATTACTTTATTTTATTTTATTTTATTTATTTATTTATTTTATTATTTTGTTTTTAGAAAAAACCACTTGTTCTACGACCCTTAGGATAATAGTATTTATGTAAGTAGTCAACTTTGCTTCTATTTGCGTACTTATACCAAGATGTATCTGGTTATTCGACTGTAATCCGGGAGAAGAATTTGCAATATACTTACTGTTTCTCACTCGACATTTGGAACTAGGACTAGAACTAAAACATAGATACTACTTATATGGGCATATAAAAATACAGGATTTTAGTAGTTATATCTATCACTATGGTACATCTTTATGGCAAATAATAACATAAACTATGCTCTATCTTCGCTTAAACCCAGCATTGGCGTAAGAGATGCCAGCCTCTTAGGTATTGTCTGCATATCACTAACCAAAGATCTTGAAGCTCCATAAAACCCTATACCTCGGGTAATATAATCAATCACATCTCCCATCCTTCCACCCCGTTCTCCATCTCTCTTCCCATTTGGAGCAATCGAACTCCTTCTTCCCTAACTTCCGATTTACCTCATTGTGAGCAAGACACATCCAATTGCCGAACTCCGCACGTCCAGAGAGTTTTGGCTTGTTAGCGCCGCTTGGATGATTCATCCACGTTCGCAGGTCATCGGCGCATACCCAGCAAGGATATAGCTTTGAAAAAAGGGTCATAAACTGGTTCATTTCGCTTTGCTGCTGAGGTGAGGCAGTAGTAGGATATGTTGCTGCCATGGTATGGAGGAGGGTCCAGGTACTTCTACCTAACGCTTCAACGTCTGCCGGACAATCATTGGGTATCTCAGATGTGGAACTCGTGCTTGAAGTACTGAGAGTTGCAGGCGTGGCACTTGTAGTAGAGGAGGCATTGGAAGAAGAGGGCGATGCATTAGGTGGAAGGCCGGCTTTAACCTTCGTCAACGCCCGCCAGTCTGCGAGGGAGGTGCAGGTTCGGCAACTGCTCTCATAACATAAAGCATTAGTTGTATTCCTCAAATTCTGGATACATGGATAGATCAGTGCTCACGGCTTGCCGTCCTTATCCAGAACAACACCCTTTGGTAGCTTCTGGGTCTTTTCTTCTTCATTCTTTTCTGCTGGTGCCCCAGTGGGCGCATTTCTCTGCTTAATAGCACTCAATTGTTCTTTGAGTATGTCTGCCATGGTTGAAAATAGTAGCAAATAACAGTGTCAGGCCAATAACGTCGCCGTTATATGTTTTTATATTTCTATCTCAGATGAGCGTCGGATGTCTGAATCCATCGAGTATATTTCTAAGCAGGCCATTTTCTTATCGCCGCTCTTATCGCCGCCCTCATGCAGCCTCGCAAGGTCGAGATATCAATAACCGTCCAGCGAGCTAACTAACCTGCCAGCTACCTAAACCATTCGTTTAACTGTCATTCAACTGCCTGTTTGTTTTGCTACGGCGGCTTGTTTTTATGAATGTTGCCTTCGCATGAAGTTCATCTGTCCATCATCTCGCGCCGAGCTGGTTGTCTTCAATCTCCAAGTCGCGTCTTAATTTTCATCCACTCCCCATTATCTTTTCACAGTCTCTATATTCGGAGACAAAGCAGTCAGTTGTTCCATTTTTGCGGAAATCGAGAGCCTAGTTTGACGGAAACGCGTTTTTTGCCCAGTTTTACTGCTTTCCAGGATGTCGGACTCAGAATTTGAGACGCGCTCCTCTTCAGGCCTTCCAAGTGCGGAAGCAATAGAGCAAGGGCTGAGGGCTACAGTTGCAAAGATATACAAGTCTGGAAACCTTGATGAGCTTACTGTGAAACGCGTGCGATTGGCAACAGAGAAAAATCTGGGACTGGAGCAAGGTGTCCTCAAAGCCCATGCGGAATGGAAACAGAAAAGCGATGAGATCATAAAGGATGAGGTGGTACGTACACTCGAATTCCTCTGTTCTTAATAGGAAGCCGCCGGAATATTTATACCTAAGTATGCGTGTGCAGGTATTAAAATTGGTGCTAGGAAATACAGGAGAACCCATCGCCGAAGTCTACTGCAGCGCCGACAAAGCCCCGATCGAAGAAGCGACCCTCGCCTGAAACACAAAAGGCTTCAAAGCCTGTCAAGAAACGCAAGAAGGCAACTTCAGTGCAGTCTGAGGAAGATAGTAACAACATGTCTTCCGAGGAGCATGACCCCATGCCAATTAGCAATAAGAAATCAAAAGCGCCACCAATGAAAGTGTCTCGAAATAAAAATGTTACCAAAGTCGACGCTGAATCAGAGGAAGACAATTCAGATCAGAGCGATGGTGATAAGAGTGTAACTTGTCAGCCGAAAGCTACATCTAAGGCAACCAAAGCTGCGGACGCAGAAGGAGATTCGGAGAGCGAAATGTCAGTGCTCATCGACGAAGAACCAAAACACAAAAAGGGAAAGTCAACCGCCCGGAGCACTGAGCTAGGTAAAGGCAAGAAGACCAAGTCGGGGAAGACACGGAAGGAAACTGTACCAGAAGACCCAGACCAGGCAGAAATAAAACGATTGCAAGGCTGGTTGGTTAAATGTGGAATACGGAAAGTTTGGGGCCGCGAACTCATGGGATGCAGTACACCCAAAGAGAAAATCCGTCATTTAAAGTCCATGCTCAAGGATGCAGGTATGGATGGGAGATATTCGATCGAAAAGGCCAACCGTATCCGGGAAGACAGAGAATTGAGGGCCGATCTGGAGGCTGCTCAAGAAGGCGCGAAGAAGTGGGGAGCCAATATCGATGAGGAAGAGGAGTCTTCCAAGACTGGCCGGTCAAGTAGACGGATTGCTAAGAGTTTCAAGCAGTTTGACTTCCTCGGGCAAGATGACCAGGACTCGGAGTCTGATTAATATACCCGTTATGCTGTATAGTATAGTATAGTGTAGTGTAGTGTAGTGTAGTATCCGATGATCTCGTTGTAACGAAGCCGTAATGCATTATGTTCGTAACCGGATGCAGAGGTAGCCTAGTAGTTCTTATGGATGTAGATAGCTACTTCAATGGCGTGTCCGTTGGTGTCTTCATTTCGATACCATTCCACCACTCATTCGCTGTGCAACGAGGCTAAATACGGCCACCGACGATATAAAGAGCACGAGATTATAGAACTATCATGCTATCAGTATGGAATCTGTTAAATGTTGGTGAATAGTATGCCTCTCTTACAGCATTCCTGGAGTATTCATTTTCTTCTGCTTCGGTGCGCGCCTCGACGAAGAGTCTTCGAAGGTTAGGTAGATTGGCCTATTCCTACGTTAAAACTAGCCATCCAGACTCCTATTAACGGGGGCTTTGTACCATAGCAACAGGCTCTACTGCGACCAAGAGCGACGACGGCGGGAGCAGCCCAGGATTGCTTTGCGTCGTTGCGTCGTTGCGTCGTTGCATCGAGGCTGTTCCGGGGCTCCAGCTAGATAGATGTTTAGTCAGCAGTCACGTGAATACCATAAACCAAGTACCTGCAACTCGCTCCCAGAAGGTCAAGAAATATTGAAGACAACAGAGGCATTGAATATATCCTACGGTGCGGGCGAGGACGTCTCCTAGTTGCTGAGGCAGTACACTTCTTCGTGGCCAGCTTGATCATAGACCCTGCGTTGCGAGCAGAATAACGCCTAACTAACTAACTTGCTAGTTAACTTAACTAGTTAGTTTAATTAAGCTGATATTCCGTCCGGCCTGGGCACAAAACGGGAAGTGTTTTGGAGCATCAAAAGGCCATCAATTTGGCACATCATCACGTCGACCTTCGCTCTCTTTTACCTAGCGGAACAGCATCTTCCTTGCCGCCAAACCACACCCGTTTCTCTCTCTACGGTCCTCTATCCGCCAGGCTAAAGCCAGCTCAACTGCTATCCCACCGCCGGCCCGCTGAAAAGCCCCTCCACCAAAAGCCGTCTGGCTTAACCGCAGCGTTACCGATGCTTGCTCGCGGCAATGGCTGTTAACAGGATAAGGGGGGCCTTTACGGCTCCGCGGAAGGGCGAGACGTTTGAGCTGAGGGCTGGATTAGTGTATGGTGATATGGAAACCCCCAAATCACACGCGGTTTCAACTGCTGACCTTGCAATTACAGATCGCAATATGCATACGAGAGGTAAATCCGCGGCTATTGCAATTGATCCTAGAGCTGTGCTCACATTTTCTTCAGAAAGGAATCGATTCAAAAAACGATCATGGCCATGACGTTGGGTAAAGACGTGTCTTCCCTTTTCCCTGATGTCCTCAAGAATATAGCGACCGCGGATCTCGACCAGAAGAAGCTCGTCTATCTCTATCTGATGTAAGGGGAATTCTTCGCACCCTCTCCCCCACCTATTGTCCCAGTGAATTGTAGCGATTGCAGTTTGATTTAACTACCAGCACAGGAACTATGCCAAATCACACCCCGACCTTTGCATTCTCGCCGTCAATACGTTTGTCCAAGACACAGAGGATCCAAATCCCTTAATTCGAGCTCTTGCGATACGGACAATGGGTTGCATCAGAGTGGAAAAAATTGTAGACTATATGGAAGAACCGTTGCGCAAAACATTACGAGATGAGTCTCCTTACGTTCGAAAGACTGCCGCCATATGCGTTGCAAAACTATTTGATCTCAACCCAACTCTCTGCCTTGAGAACGGTTTCCTCGAGGCGCTCCAAGAAATGATCGGAGACCCAAACCCCATGGTAGTTGCAAATTCGGTGACTGCCCTCGCAGAAATCAGCGAAACTTCTCCGGAAACCAAGGCTCTGCAGATCACTCCAAACACACTCCGAAAGATGCTCATGGCCCTCAACGAGTGTACCGAATGGGGAAGAGTCTCAGTTCTCACGAATCTTGCCAACTACACTCCCAAAGACCAGAAGGAATCCGAGAATATATGTGAACGAGTAGTGCCTCAATTCCAGCATATAAATGCCAGTGTTGTCCTCGCTGCGGTCAAAGTTGTCTTTTTACACATGAAGTACATAAACCCAGACATGGCCAAGTCTTATCTTAAGAAAATGGCCCCTCCCCTAGGTATGTACCAACAGCTTACGATGCATGCTGAGTGTGAGGTCCTTTTTACTCACATATGTTAGTTACACTTGTCTCCTCGGCTCCAGAAGTACAGTACGTTGCTCTGAGGAATATCGACCTCCTCTTGCAAAGCCAACCAAATATTCTAGACAAGGAGCTTAGGGTATTCTTTTGCAAATATAACGACCCACCCTACCTTAAGTTTCAAAAACTAGAGATAATGGTTCGAATTGCCAACGACAGAAATGTGGATCAGCTCCTTGCCGAGTTAAAGGAGTATGCTCTAGACGTTGACATGGACTTTGTGCGCCGTGCAGTCAGGGCAATTGGACAAACGGCTATCAAAATTGAGCTAACTGCAGAGAAATGTGTGGCTACCCTTCTAGATTTAATCAACACCAAGGTGAATTATGTGGTCCAGGAGGCCATCGTAGTGATCAAAGATATATTCCGAAAATATCCCGGATATGAAGGAATTATCCCTACCCTTTGCCAGTGCATCGATGAACTTGACGAGCCAGATGCCAGGGGTGCGTTGATATGGATTGTGGGAGAGTATGCAGAGAAAATCAGTAACGCTGGTGATATCCTGGCCGGCTTCGTGGACGGCTTTAATGAAGAATTCACCCAGGTAATATATCAAAATATCCCCTTTTCTATGCTATGTTGGGGGTTTTGGGTGACTAATTCTCTATACAGACACAGTTGCAAATCTTGACAGCAGTGGTCAAATTGTTCCTCAAACGTCCTGAAAAGGCTCAAGGCTTGGTACAGAAGGTTTTGAAGGCAGCAACTGAAGAGAATGATAACCCTGATATCCGAGACCGAGCGTATGTTTACTGGCGGCTGCTTTCTAACACGAATGATCCAAACGCCCCCAAAAATGTCGTTCTTTCCGAGAAGCCCCCAATTGTTACCACTATCCATTCTCTACCCCCTAACCTTCTAGAACAACTTCTTGGCGAGCTCTCAACGCTGGCTTCGGTTTATCACAAGCCTCCAGAGCAGTTTGTAGGACAGGGCAAATACGGCGCAGATGCTGTTCAGAAAGCAGCTATTGAGTTTGACTACCCTCGCCTCTCCAAATTGGCCAAGGTCACTAACATCGATGCTTAGGGAACAACTTCAAAATGCCCGGGAGAACCCTCTTGCAGCCGCTGCAGCCGCTGCAGCAGTTTCTGGCGCGGCACCGCCTCAGATACAAAATAATATCGAGAACCTACTAGATATCGACTTTGATGGAACGGCTCCTGCGTCTGCCCAGGGAGAACCGCCCGCTGGCATGTCTGGACTGGAAGGGCTAGCCGGCACGCCAATGAGGGTTGCATCACCAACAACTACAGGCCCACCGCCGTCAAGTAACAACTTAGAGGATCTCATGGGAGTTTTCGGGAGTAACCCCTCGCCTTCTAACCAAGGCGAAACCAACTCTGGAAGCGGAAACATGGGCGGGAATGATTTGATGAACGGCCTCGCTGGGCTTGACCTTTCAGGCTCCACAACCTCTCCTGCTCCTGCTTCGATGCAAAGTCAAGGCGGGCAGAAGAAAAGCAACTCCGAGCTCTTGGACTTATTTTGATTGATTACGGACTTTAGAGAAAACATGATCTTTCTTCCCCCGAATATATTACATTGTCACCATATCGTATACCAAAAAGGCTGAATAACAGCGTTGCTAGATAATTTAGGATGTATATAATTGCGACAATAGTCAATATTTTCGTAGTGTATTGCGCCGTGTGCATTCTCTATGCATTTCCCTGTAACTGCTGCCAGTATTATGTGGGTATCGCCATCTGGGTCCCAGCAGTTATGATAGCCAGATATTATAGTTACCTTCGCGGAGGCCCACTCAGTAGCTTGTGTATTTATCACAATGCTGTTGTTAAATTCTTCAAGTAGCTAATTAACTATAACACCTTTTCCAACCAACTCGGATTTGACAAAAGCGCTGATATTACTAAATAACCAACCTGCATCTTCCTACCCATGAAGCAGAGTCGCTATAAACTGCTGTGATAACTATCCCGCGCAAAATATAATTAACTAGATGTCGTCGACCTCAGGAAACAGCTCCGGCTATCCAACATCAAGCAACTCTAGATCTCGGCAACCGCAACAAGAGCAGCCCTCGCCGCAGTCAACATCTTCTTACTTGACTTACCCCGTTTCCCATGTTGTCTCTGGCATATATCGACGGCTTACGGAGCCAGGCCCTCCTCCCTCCACCCGCTCTCTGAACCCCATGGGTGACGCTGCAATTTTCACTCCGCCACGCCGCACAGCTTCCCCGTTCCATCCTCCACCACTGACGCCGCTTACGCTCGAATGTTCTTCAAACGATACAGACCAGCTCCTAACACGATCATTAGCCGAGGAGATAAGGCTACTGGTTCCTCCTCGGCTCCAGCTTGTGGACACTTGGAAGCTGGTGTATAACCTCGACCGAGACGGTGCATCCTTATCTACCCTCTACGATAAATGCAGAGAGCACTCGGAGATAAGCCAACGCGCTGGATACCTGCTTGTTGTCCGTGACTCCTCGTCTTCTGCATTTCCTGGGACTGGAAATGCCAACTCTGGCGGAGGGGCAACTACGGGCGGTGGTGCATTGTTCGGGGCCTATCTCACCGATGCACCGCACCCTGACTCCCATTATTACGGAACAGGTGAATGTTTCCTCTGGCGGGCAAGTACCTTATCATCTACTCCAGTAATACCAGCTACTGCTGCGAACGGGAAGAATACCAAACCTGGACATTCTTTGTGCGAGAGTTTGGAACAAGCCGGTCTGCCTCCACCTCCAAGTGCGGATACTACCAATATTCGTGGAAGAAATACTACATTTAGAGGTGAGGTTGAGCCCATTGCTCCTGGGAATAACGGGGGAGAATCTCTTCTCCAGCCTCCCACCGCAGAAGGAGACGGATCCAATGGCTCGCCCATCTCTCAAACACGAGTTAGGGCCAGCCCAGTTGCTAACTCCCGTGTAGGCAGCAGTAGAAGCGGTACTCATACCCCAGAGCATATCAGGTTTAAAGCCTTCCCATATAGTGGAGTTAATGACTATATGATATTTTGTGAGACTGGATTTCTCAGCGTAGGTGGAGGGTACGTCCTTTCAAATGAAATTCTAAACCCTCGGGTTTATAAATGAACTAACAATTACTCCTTTTCATAGTGACGGCCGCTACGGTCTATGGCTAGATGACTCGTTTGAGAAAGGTGTATCCAGCCCTTGCCTCACATTTGGGAATGAACCACTTAGTGATGAAGGGACCAAGTTTGACGTCCTGGCCGTCGAGGTATGGAGTATTGGGTAAGGCAAGGTATGTATTACTAGTAAACGAGAGTTTATTTTGAAGATATCTACAGCGATTTTGGCCGAGCCTTCCTGTTCTCTGGGAAAATGGATGGTGTCACGTCAAGGTGGTTTATACCCATTCTGTTAGTATGCTAATACTCAACTCGATCTTACATATAATAGCAATCATAACCGGTTAGCAACCGTTTTCGCTGAAGTCTGGTTATGGAAGTGGCCTGTATCGTAACTAAGGTATCACTTCTCTTGATTTACATTTCTTTCACGGGTGGCCCGAAGCGGTAACAAACTCAAAAAGGTTAATAGTCCCGGTGTTAGATGATCCAGTAATTATCTCTGTAGTCGTTGGAATCACCTTCCATTCGCGAATAATTGATACATTGAATATTAAATACTGGAAAACTACCATTGAAGGAGGACGGACAGTATTACATTACAGATAAAAGGTGTTTCCTTAGCGGCAATTATCATCACTAGTTAGCTATCAATATGGGCTGTTGACGATTTCATTCCTCCCTAGCCGACTAGCCTTCCTTCCAGCGCTAAACCTAGCTGGTGTAACTGGAGGGCCAGCTATGCTCTCCCTAGTTGGCTTTCGAAGACTCTGCTTTGCAACCATATTGACTTCGTTGGGCAAGGCAACAATGACGTTTTTATCACTTCCAAATTTGAAGTTATCTGCTTTGACTTCCTCTGCATACCGCTTTATAGTGTATGGGTCTTTACGGCCAAGTAGAATCTTCTTCAGATTCCAGGTAACTATAAATGGTCCAGTGGCAGTGACAATTGAAGTTTCTGAAGAGTCCAGGCCTGTGTTGAATCGAGCGGGAGTAAACGCAAGGGGGGATTTGGTTTCATGTTGGAATTGAGCAACATGTGCAGGTTGTAAGCCGAGACGTCGAGGCTGTGGTTTCGAGTCTTTCGCAAATGACTTCTCAAACCCGAGCTTCCCTTCGTTCTTTCCATCTTTTTGCAGAGCATCAATCAAAAGGAGATATGTGCGACAGGTAGCAAGTACCCATCGGCCATCCGCAGAGACATCTAATCCAATGATGGCTTCTCCGAGCGCTGGGATATGAGTTTTGGCATTGACACCCAGTCTGTCAAACATGCGGATATCTCCTTTATTCGAAGCAACAGCAAGGTAGCCCTTTTCGGTGGTTGAGGCAACAGAGAAATCGTTCTTACTAGCATACTGCTTTAGGTCTGCATCCACAAGCTTGTTGCCAGACAGACGAGGATCAATGCGGTAAAGGGCGTTTTGTGATATACCAACAAAGGGCTGTGCAGATGTCATTTGAGAGAATTTCTATTTTCATTGTTAATAAATCAGAAAGTATCGAAGTTTTGGCATTTGCTGTTTGACTTACCGTTTCAGGGGTGAAGGACAACACAGGAATATCATCGTGTACTTTCCACTCGTCGACAACTTTACCATACTCCAAATCCATACGATATAGAGAATTTGGATTTTGTTCATTCTGGAGAATCATGTTCGCGTCCTCTGCATGAAGCATGACCTTTTTAGGGCTGAATAGCTTGCCATCTGGTGTTTCAACCTTTGAAATATTGGTTGAAAACTCGAGATTGTTATTAGGGGTATGTCTGAAGACACCAATCTTCGATCCTCTCACGACAAAAGACCTATCGTGTTTGTAACCAACAGCAAGTTGAGAGTTGACATTTCCATCCTCGTCTCGAGTTACAACATTATCTTCGTCTTCATCTGTGTCATAATGCTCGCTCCTCTGTCCATCATCTTCTTCCTCTTCCTCTGCTAATTCTCTCTCTTCGGTCTCTTCCTCTTCCTCGAGCTCTTTAAGATCTTCCTCTCTTTTATCTTCCATCGTAAGGTCATTAAATGCTTCCAGTACATAATCACGATCATTTTCTTTTGTTTTAGCCCACTTCGTTTCATTCAGGCGTTCCCACAGAGCTTGCATTAGCCCTTCCTGGAACCGTTCCTCTGTGGGCTGGTCCTTGAATCGTAGAAGCCAAGAATAAGCAGAGCCATCTTCTGTATAATGATTGAAGATGAATGAGAGATACTCGAAGTTAAACACTGGGTTGATATCGCCAACAACAGGTTGGCCGAGCCACTCGCGATCAGAGCCCGTGATTTGTAGCCAGTATTCCCAGGATCCGATTTCAGAAACTGTTGCAGTTACCAAGCGGTCCTGAAGAACAAATGTCCCAGTATTGAAGTCGAACAAGTGAAGCTCAGCTGTCTCTTTAGCTAGTATCTCGTTCGCAGTCGGAATGGAAGCAGACGGCGGTGCAACAGTTGGCTCCGCAGGCTGTTGCTGAATCCCTTTAGAAGAAACAACTTCTTTCGCCATCGCTGCTGCCGATTCCTTGGAGGTTGGAGAGGTCGAATGAGGAGAAGCAGTGATTGGGCTCGCTGTGGGGATTGGGCTCTCTTCTTCGTCAAAATCGAATTCTTGGAGCTGTTGGTCAGTCGCTTGCTGTGCACTACGGCGATATTTACGCTCGTACTGACACTCCACTGCCGCAAGCAGAAATGTCGCGACTTTTTCCTGGGGCGTTGAGGGGTCGCAGACGAACTCGTAGAGATCGCCGACGTCACCGCTCAAGTCTCTCCATGCAATCACCTTCTCGCCTTCTTCCCGCAGTTCAGACCGGAGACGAAGGCTCTCGTCTACCAGAAAGATCTTCTCATCCTTGTCGCCGCCGAGTGCTTCAAGCTCGCCGCTTTCATCGCCTTCGGCAGCGAGCTCTTCTTCCCCTTCTTCATAAGCCCGCTGAATGACTAGCTGGTACTGGAACTCTTGGCCAGTCCGTCGGATGCTGGCCGCAGCGTCCTTGAAGATGAGTTCAGAGTAACCTTTGGGGGAGAGCGGCCGAACGATATATAGTTGCCCTTGAGGTATTTCGATAATAGATTCCTTCGCAGAGTCACCAAAGATGAGCTTACTGACTATATATCCCCCATAAATAAGTAAGTCAGTCAGTTGACTGCGAGCCAAATCCTGAGCGAGGGGCAAGGAGACAGGGAGTTCAAACTAGCTGCTTACCGTTCCTGAGCATAAACATGGTTGCTGTAGTGGTTGCAGCTCACCGGGTAAGTCCCAGGCAAAGGCGAGCGACGTGCCAAATCTGTAAAAGAATTACTGGAGGGACTGTGTGAGTATCGTGCCGGGGTCGGTTTCTGCTCTTGTTCCTCGCTAAATCGCGACTTTATCTTTCTTATCTTCTTCTTGTTGCTTTTTTTTTCCCTTTCTCGAATGACGAAAAAAAAAAAAAAAAAAAAAAAAACCAAAAAAATAAAGATAAAAATAAAAGGCAGTATTGTTGTGGCAAAAAGCGAATATCAGTGGCAGTAACTAACGGCAGTAGGACGGTAGATCCTAAGGTTTGGAATAAGGGGCGAGTATGCTAACTGCCACGCAATACACATGTTAATACCACCATGAATGCTCGTGATTCAATAGGGGAGTGAAGTTGGATTCCTCTGGGACCTTTCCAGAGCCACGCATGCTTTTGCATTCTTTTTATCTTTCTGTTCATATCATTTTATTCTCTTATCCGTGCTCTCTCTCGTTTCCCGTCAGCTCTTCTGTCTCCATTCTCAATCCTCCTTCTACTTCTTCCCTGGCATCTCCGTCTGCGTCATCTGCACCCGCTCTTGATTCGGCACCTAATATTTTCCCCCCTCCAGGATGAGTGTCATGTACAGCTTCAGAACTCCCAGGGGTAGACACTTCGCTCTTCAGCCGGCCTCCTTTCCTCTTTGGCATCACTTGAGAGAATGCTTTCCCCCAATCTTTCAGTTCAAGCCACTTTAACATTATTTCCATGACGTGGTTGGTAGCGAGCACAAATCGACTAGCCATTTGCATGTAGTCTCCGATGGGCAACTTGGCTGTTTTCATTCCTTTATCCATGGCTCGCTGATAACAAATTCCTTTATGTCTGTTCTTATCGACAATTCCTCCGATAATGTAGGTGCTGTAGGGCTTGAGTTCCATCAGGGTATTTGGGCTGTCACTGGTAAGATACACCACCTCCCCTTCCTCCTTCAGGGTCTTGGACTCGGACTTTTCTGCAAATGCTCCTTGTAAATTTGGATGGCGTATCTCATGCATCCGCCGCTGGGAAGACTCTGCCGCTGTAGCAAAATCATCCTGTGTAATCTTAACACCGATCCAGTTCTCGTGGTTTTTGGAAAGCACGGTATCAAACCGTTCCTTCAACTTGCCGTGGAAGGATGCTATAACTAGGCTGGCTCTGTAGGCTGCCTTTGCGTTATCCGAATATGACCGCGTAATTTGCGATGACAATGACTTGAGCTCAGTATCATGCATGAGTTCATCAAAATTGCAGTCAATTATAAAGGTCAGCGGGACATTAACTGCCCGGGCACGAGCTTCTCTTCTGATTTTATTTTTATCGGGCAGTATTCCCTCAACATGCACTCCAGGTATCAAAGCCACACCATTGGCTTGAAGTTCAGCTTTCAAGGCTTTGCTCCGTTCTCTTTTCTTCTGTAGCTTCTCTTTGCGATACTCCTTTCGCCTTTCCCTTTGGTCCTCCCACCTGCGTTGTTTTGCAAGTTTTTTCAACTGGTTTTTAGATAGCGTTGGCTGCTGAATCTGATCTGCGGTGGTACCTATAGCAGTATCTATAGCAGCTTGTGTACACCCTTCAGACTTTGCATCAATTTTGTGCTTATCATCATTGATTGATGGATCTTGCACAACCCTTGACATTGGAAAATCCACAGTAGAGTCGCCCGCTTCGTGCTCTGTCTTTTGTAGTTTGCTTGGCCGCTCCTCTGCTTCCATAGCTGGTATACACTTTGTAGAAACAAACTAAATAGTTAGGCTAGCTGTCAATTGCTGGTCATGCCAAAGACGTGAAAAGTCCTTTTGGGCGCTCAGAGGATCCTCAATCTCGAAAGTTTGAAGGTCTGCTTTCCACCAATAACGTGGAGGCAAAAAAATCACATCACGTGAGCCGACAGGTCCGCTACCACATCGTCAACTTCAACCTCGATCGAACATTCCATATCACACATCTGCGTGAACACTCTTTCAACCGTCACAATGCCTCAGGATATGCCCCCTACAGGGGGATATCGCCCGGTCCAGTACAAGGTACGATCTTATTTCCCAAATCCCTGACCATTGGGCCTTGTGCCTCTGAACTTTGTTGTACAGTATGGCTAACGACCTGCACAGCGCAATGTACCTGTTCGAGGGTTCCGCCCTGTCTACTATCTCATCGGAATGCATGCTATAATGGCGTATGGCCTCTATAAACTTTTCATTGGTACCCGCGAGCGAAAGTGAGTCGTCCAACACCACTGCAGCCTTCCCTTCCGTCCGTCGATTGAAGAGTGCTAACAAGGCACTTTTTTGTTTTATTTTTTTTTTTAAAAAATAATAGTGAACTTGCCCGAGAAAAGATTTGGTCTCGAATCCACCTCATTCCACTCCTCCAAGCTGAGGAAGACCGAGATCAAGCAAGACGTTACTTCGCAGACAAAGCAAGAGAGAAGGAGTTGCTTGGAACCGATACCAAAATATACAATTCTGATAGGTATGTCATGGATCCACATCATATTTACCTGGCAAAGCTGCTGACCGGTTTCAATTCCCAGATTCGTGAGACCAACCTTCATGTATACCCCATCTCCTTCGAAATAGGCTTGTCTGTATAAATATCTACCATAATTCCCGTACTTTTCATTCATTACCATTCCATTAGAAATGGACCAGTGCTTGCTTTTCTCTACAGATCTCCCGAAGTTTAAACCTTTTGCATTGCGGTAAGGCATCACGGCCTTCTATGGACGAATGATTGTTTATCCAGGGCATTAGACAAAGAAGGGACCTTTGGAGGTGTTGTAAGATGAAAACGAAAACATGCAAAGATAAATACAAACTAACGTGCTCGGATTCAATTCAATAAGAGACTAGTAGTATATAATAATGGCCGTAGGTGAAATAACTCCATCCTTCACAGCAGCTTCAACCGGCTGACTTAAACAAGCTCGCTGGGCCTCGCAACGATTAAGCCTGATTGAACATATCGGCTACAAACGTTAGGTCAGCCCCGTCATTTATGTCAACTTTCTTGGCTTCTTCTCCCTCCATTTCTGTAGACATATATCTCGCCTGCATTGCGCTGCGTTCCTTGCGACGATTGACGGCCGTACCCAAAATACGTCCTTGCTCACTGATCCTCACTCCTCGAACACCCTCCAGCAGATCCAGGATGATGGCTTTCTGCTGTCTGCTTGAGGCTGAACCATGAAGTGCGACCTCTGCTGCTTTCACCTTCTGTTCTAGCATTCCTGGCAAGCTCAGAATGATAGATCTAGGAGTGTTTGTTGTTGGGCCATATAAAATCCATATAGAAGAAATGAGCTGTGCTAGATCCTTTTGCATGTCCACAAAATATGGGTCATGAACGGAGTTTATACACGCTTTCAAAACTTCAGTACTGATGAATTCCCGAATGGTAGCAGCTGTTGGAGTGTCGGTCACAGGAACGAATTCCGTTAGCATGGATCGAATAACGCGGGTTATAATAACGCAGCAACGTGTGTCATGCATTTGCAAGGCATGTGTGCAGAATAAAAGAACTGGCTCAAGGATCTGGGTGGATGATATAATGAAACTTCGCATTGTTTCAGGCTGTCCTCCATCGGTAGCCTTGAGCTCTCCTGTTTTTGAAGGGTCTTGAGTCCCTTAAGGCTATGTTAGCAGCTAGTATGTATTAATGGCCAGTACTAGGAATGACCAACCTTCTCGCTCAGGATCCAGGAAGCTAGCCACCATGATGACAGCAGAGTATGTCAATTGTCTGAGGATACTTTCGTCTTTCATTTCCTCCGTAAGGTCATCATCGACGATACCTATCCTTCGGCGCTGGATTATATCCCACTCGCTAGTAACTTTCTTGTCAAGTTGTGAAAATAACGCGGACATCATCGGGGGTAAGAAATCAGCGCGGGCATTCGACGGGCAATCATCTATTAGACACCGTGAGATATTTAAGAGGACCGAAAATTGGTGTGAGGACAGGGAGAAAGCATCTTTGTATAGCGCCTGCGAAAGGGGGACAGGAAGTTCGGGAAACCCGTAGAAATAATTTTCTAGCCGACTCATGCTGAAAAGAACCGAATAGCATGCTTCTCTGACGGCTCTCACTTTTCCACGAACGGATGATGAAAGCCCTTCTAGCGTAGTTTTTGACCCAGCTATTTTAGAGTAGAATTCCTGCCTGCTTCCACTTGAAATACCGGCTTGCCAGAACCTATCTGTCAAAATTCGACCAACAACGGGGCGCATGTCCTCGGGAAGACCTTCCCAATTATCAGGATTATGAAAAGCATGCGCATGACTAGTATAGTTAGAATATGTATAATAGTTCACAGAGAGTAATTATCATACCTAATAAGCTGGAGAATAGTCGGCAAGATTAGGGGAATAGTATCTTTCCATATATCAAGGGCAATCTGGTATGCTGGTTCATCTTTTTTCACCTTCTCCGTTGATACAGCGAGGAGTGTGCGAGTAGGGCGCAGGGGTAACTCCTGCACAGTCAGGGTTGTCAGTATATTATTATCAATATCTGAATTCTTATAAATACCTGGAATTTTTTACTTAAATCTTCCTGGATATGTATGCCTTCGGCGTCGAGTGGAACGGCAGTCCAATCCTCTATCTTCTGGGCTTCACGTTTCTGAAGGTAAGGGTGTACTTTATCCAAACCAAGGACATCATAAAACCCCTTGAATGAACCCAGTACCAGCTTTAGTTCTTGATTAGTCCACGCCTGTTTGATTGGTTCAACAAAAGAGTTCAATCGGGCTTGTCTGATATACGGATCCACGCTCCGAGCACGCTGCCTGCAATGCAGTTAGATATGCTGTAAACGATTTCAAGGATATATAAAACCCACATGATAATCAAGAGGATCGCAGATAGCTCCATATGAGGACGTCCCTCATCATTCGGCCTTTTCCCAATTTCCTGTGCTTTTTGTTCCAGCGGCTCGTAGTAATTCTAAGGCGGAGGTAAGTACATTTCGTCAAGGTAAGAAGCAAACTACTTACGGCAAAGTAGTCAGCGTATCTAATTGCAAGCCTCCGAATCTCGTACGTGGCCATATTATAGAGTTCTCTCACTGACTCCGAATATGCAGAATATTCTGGGTGATCGGGTATCTGGACCATCAATATATGCTCGAGGATTTTCAGCGCGTAACTTGGTCGATCTACTAGAGCCTTTGCTGAAATGTCAACGCATAAGCGTAGCACTCGTTGTTTTATGCATGGGTCCTGCTTGCTGTTAATACCGAATATTCCAGCTTCGATAGAGTGAGATTAAAAGTATACCTCAAAGTTACGGTTCATCAGACCCATGGCCCAATTTTCAAGTGCGCTCTCTAAGTCTAGACGCTGTTGTTCCTATTTTCCCTGGTATCAGCACCGGTTATGGATTCAATTCCAATTGGAACCAAAACAAACCATCACTTACATCTAGTTGAGGGTTTGAGCCCAATGATCCTTTCCATTTGAGGTAACCCTTCAACATTGCCTCAACTACCGTGAATTGGATATCGGCACGGAGGGCAGGTATTGATTGCTTCTGAAAGGTAGCCACTATTTAAATTAAGTTAGTTATCCAAAAAGAGGAACTGTAAAGTACAGGATTCCTTACCACTGAATGGAGCATTCCCTGCATACACGTTATCCAGGGCGCTATTGACCCCAGCGAGGATATGAGGAATTGCCTCAAGCGTGTGTTTTTGAACGATAACCTCAATGACTTGGCTGCAGTACCGCCGGTAATTTCCAACAAAGGCATGGCGTTCGGGTATAGTATCAATATCCTCGCTAAGAAATACCATGGTTGGGTCATCCGAATCCTCTGGAAGTGCCTCGTATCGTACGAGCCGCTGAGAACAGATCTGCAGTAGCTGCCCTATTAGGTTGTTGACAATATCCAATCCACCTATATGGCTTGAGGCAAGTAGTCTGGACCATGAATGAAGTACTGGTATGGACACAACAAGGCTTGGATTCTGGAGTATACTAATGAGAAAGGAGAAAAAGCTAGGAAGGTCAACTGATTTCGTGAAATCGACAGATTTCTCTTCGAGAAAACCGGCGATATAGGAAACCAACTGCGACAATCAGTTAGCCGGACATAATTAGACATCTGCTTGGATTCGAGGGCGGGCAAACCTCGGATAGCTTTTTGGATATAGAGTATTTCGACTCAATAATGTTATCTGCGCCGACAATCGACCATTCATATAACTTCCTCAGGAGGTTAAGATGATCATTTTGATATATTATGTTCACAAGCCTTTGGAATTCCTCAATATTATAAGTTGATCTTCCATATAACGAGTGTAACGCCTCGACCGCCGCCTATGTCTCACCGATTAGTATTGATTATTTCAAACTAGGAACAGCTGTTTAGCTTACTAGAAGAACTGCATCATCCTCAACTTCGAGTGCATTACAAATGGCTATGACGCATTGAGATGAATCGATGGCCATTGGTATAACCCATGCAACAAGCGAACGCAGACAACTCAATGACTTTAATGCACAAGTTTTGGCTTCTGTCGATGCATGGAAATTCCGTACACAGTCACTTAAGAAAGATGAGACCCTGAAGAGCCAGCCCTCGCTCCCACTGCGGATTTCAGTATGATGGTCCCTTGTTGGGTACGCCACTTTAAAAACGTCGTAGGGTGTGCAAATTTCCACTAGAGCTCTGTTTAAATCAGTTCCTCTAAGGGATGACGCTGTGTCTTCCTGATGGATTATGTCCTCTGACAGAGTCTCCAGCACAGTCAGCACAAGTTCTTTATGGGTAAATGTCGCATTCCATAGATGCATCAAAGATTCATCCATCTGCGGCCACTCCAGACCCCAGGTACGCTTTGCGAGTTCAACCCACAACGAAGCCACTTTGTTGCGGATGTAAGAAGGATCCTGGCACCGCAAACCTTCAGCCAGACTCATGACAAGACCCCTGGTATGGTTCACCTCGTCTGGAGACAGCTCCAGGAATTTGTACCGCAAAACATGCTCCAGGAATGAAAGTCCGAGGTGCTGGACTACAGGGGAATGGCTCTTTTCCGCAGCCAAAAAGTAGCCATTTTGCAGAGCGGCCTTTTCATGCTTCTGCTGCTCGAGAAACTCTGAGGCTTGCTTCCTGACTTCATTCGAGGAGGCGGGGGAATGTATAACATCAAGAGCCTGGATGATATTTGCTAGCTGAGGGGCCGCGTTCTCGTTCCCGTCGCCGGGCTGGATAGAGTCAGCCATTCCACCACCACCCGCTGCTTCGGTTTCCGTCACCAGTAGACTTTTTATCCCGATGACTATACAGAGGTATCTTTTTTTTTTTTTTTTTTTTTTTTTTTTTTTTTTTTTCCTAGTAATGTATTCCTCCCCTTTCTTTAGTTAGTTAATCAACTGCTAGTCAACTAGTTAGTTATTCCTTGGTTGGCTTAGGCGCCTGGGGGTCGTAGTGAAGAGTTTTTCAATGCCAAATTTCGAGGTTTGAGTCGGCTGTCGCAGGGCTTGTTCCAATGTTCAGATGAGTTAACGATAAAAAGAAGATAGCAATAGAAGAAGTGAGGTTTTGGGAAGGATTATAGTTACCTACTGGCTAATATTTTTATATCGGAGCCCGTTGGCTGTTTGTTTACAATGTAATATTAGTGAGATTAACTAGACTGTTACATAACTAGTAACTTAGTTATAAACCGAATCCTCCTTGGTTAGTAAGACGTCAAAAGTGTTTATTTAACTAAGCCAGAACCATTACTATGAATGGATATACTGGGCGCAAAAATCATGGGGAAGAATAATAAATATGCATATTATAATCCGCACCAAAAATATGATTTCACCGAGAAGAAACAGTGAAGAGACGTGTTGGAGAGACGGTATTTGCTACGGAGTACCCTAATATACCATAAAGCCTGCTGCATCTTGCGCGTGGTTCATCAAGTATGTATCCGTATGTACCTATCACACTCACGCTAGAAACAGTGTAGAAGACAAATATACAAGACACATGATGGAAGGAAAGATGTCGGAACGTGAAAGGTAAAAAGGGAAAAAGATAGCAAGGGGAAAGCACCAGATAGAAAGGAGGAAAACCGAAACAAACTCTGGAAGATATCAACCAAGCTCTGATCTAAACGATTTTACATCACAATGCATGAATGTTGCTTGCACTGCTCAATGTATCCCTCGTCGTCATGTGGACTGACGATGGCGGAAAGCTCGCGTTTGACACCGTGAATTTGTATGGTCTGGTCTCCCTCGGCGTGCCACCATTTCAAGAATTGAATGCTTCCGTGCTGGAACTCCAGAGAGAAAATCTCCCATTTCCCTCCACTTACAGTGACAGTCGACTTGTCCTTTGGAAAGTGCAATTCCGGAAGGAAGATGAGAGTCGGTGCACCGGAGGGGGTAGGCGAGTCGGCAGTCAAGGATAGCGTAAAGGTGCAGTTCTGAAGATCGAAGCCATGTTTCGTTATACGACCATGAACAGCTTCTGGGCCAGGGCGTACAAAGGCTTCAACAGCACGAAATCCCCGGTGTTCTCCACTTTCTTTTAGCTGGGGCTTTGGGGTAATCGAGGCAGCAGGAAGAGCTGCTTTCAAATTACTCGGTTCAACCCGAATAGCTTGTGAGTCGGCTCTGCTCTGTGAAAACGATGGAGAGGAGGGGTCCAACAGAGTCATACCGGATTCTAGGGATTTCGCGATTGGCAGTTCCAAATCGTCCGGGGAGTAGATTGAAAGATCCTCGCCGTTCCAGTTGTCTCCCCACTTGTGTGAATTCTATTTATTTTCCAGAAACAGTTAATGCCTAGTTCTTTAGATCGGGATCATATATGAAACCTCTCGTACCTCACTAGCATAAGTCCAGAGACTGTACCCGTTTCCTCCACAGCCCTCGATACCAAAATGATTTGCATCCATGGCACTTATTTGGCTAGAATAATCTCCGGTCTTGTACGCATACTTGTCATCCATGTCATAAGGGATGCCTGTTTCGGTCAGCAAAAGCGGATGATTGCCCATGTTTTTATAGCTTTCTTCGCGGAGGTAATGCAGCTGGTCGCGAAAGGAATTTCGAATAGCAGTTTCACCAATTTTAAGTCCAAAGGCCGGAATCCAGTATTTTCCACGTAGTATACCCACTACGTCAACGTTATAATATCTGTTCCTATAGAAGAGTTAATGGAAAACTTTGGCCTGTTTTTCATGACATTAGCTCACCAGTGTTTTGACATCAGGGTAAGTCCGTCATAGAAATGGACAGCGTGGACCATGTTGGGGTCGTCATCCACAGTTCCCTTGATGGTGGGTGGGATTTCCAGGACCGGTGGCTGACAGAACATAATGGTATCTTTATGAACACTACGTAGAGCATCACGATACTTTCGATAATGCTCTAGAAAGTATGTATTGATGAAACCTTCATAATCGAGGGCCTGTCCAGTTCTGGGGTGGGTACCAAAGTAATTACTCCGTAAAAGAGTAAGCGTAGCAGGGTCCCAAACTCCATGTTGCGCCCAGATACATTCCCCGACCTTCCACTGCGGATCTCTTTTCCATCCATACTGATCGGCACGGTCGACCTTCAACCAGACTGATTTTCCTTCTGGATCAACTAACGTCCTGCCTGTTTGATGTGGACCGAATGTACCAAACTCCCATTGCGTCACTTCACAAGGAAATCCTGAGCCTGTCATCATTCCTTGAAATGCGGTGGGAGACGTCCCAAGCTGCAATTGTTGATCGGCTGGAATGACAGAAATATCCGGTATTCCAATCATACCCCTATGAGGCTCATTAACATTCTCCCATCCAATCACCACGTCATCTTCCAACTCCCCTGTCTCGTGTATTCTGACCGCCAGATGCTTGCAGGCAGCAATAAAATGGGTTTGAAGATAGTCCTGGATATTCATCCCATTAATTATTGCTTTTGGGGCAAAGTCCTTCCCAGCCCAGAACAGCGTAAACATCGTTTGGCAGACAAGTCTAGTATAATTGGTACTCCAGATCATCTTTGGGAACGCAGCAGGATCCGGATACGTATTTTGGACTAAGGCAGCTTGCGTATCATGGAAATTTCGTGGATCGAGCCCGGCGGCGTACAGTGTCCATAACGGTGCTCCAGAACCACCTGAGAAACGAGACCACTAGTAAATGACAGTTAGCCGGAAGATCATACACGGACAGGAGCTGTATTCAAAGCATGGAATATGTTACTTACCACATCCTGATGTGGATCCATATATACATAGAAACCATACGATCCTGCAATCCTTAGTAGTTCGATGGTGAATGTAATCCACTCCTCGTCATACTGGCCGGGTCCAGTGTGCTCGATTGCCTCCCACGTAAACACATACCGGATGTGATTGTACCCCCATTTCTTTAGCCTAGAGAAATGTGTGTGCGAGTCTTCAAGAGTAAATGGTCTATTTACAAAGGAGACATCGTCCGCGTCGAAGAACCCGTTGACCTCGTGTGACGGAACATCGGGAATTCTGGGATATTTCGCTGTTGCATCGAGATTAATTCCTCTTAGGATGACTTCTCGGTTGTGAGGGTCACGGAAAACATTCCCTTCGACTCGGAGTCTGAGAGGGGCCATCGGTCGTCCCGTTCACACAGCAAGGCTGGCAGGTAAGGGCGTTTGGTTGAGCAGGCAGCTGGACGAGCTCAACTCGATGACCAGCAGTGGGAGCAGAGTAGTTTAGGAGACGAAACGAAAGAGAAAAACAGAGCAAACAAAAGGTGTAACTAACGAATAACTAACAGAGAATATCCTATATCATGCACCACATCTCACCGCCGCGTATATACTGCGTAGGCAGGGAAGGAAATGGAGAGGACGGGAAACAGTCTCTCCTGGGCAGGGAGAAACTGGCGGTTGCACCGGAAGTGCCGAGTGACCTTCGCGCAGCCCAGCTCGTGGACACTTACTGCTTTGGGGCTCCACCGATGACGCAGTGACTAAGCGGTCTTGGACATGTTTTAGAGGTGCCACGTGAAATCCACATGACAAAGCATCAACCCTCGAACGAGTTAGTGAACTTACTTGACCTGAGAGGGCAACTCGAGATGTAAACTAACATCTCAGCTTCAAACGTTTTTGCCATACTTTTGTATTCATGGGGACCATGCACTAGGACCCAAGACCACCAGGCTGGAGGACTAGGTGGGACCTGAGATTCAGAGGGTTAACTAACTAGTTAGAGAATTACTTCTCCAAAGGGTGAGAAAAGACGAGCCAGCCCACGGAACCATGGCTCCTAAAAGCGCTTTGAAGGCAATCAGGGTGGATCTAGATGCAGGAGATTACTCTCAGGCAGCTGTAAAGGCATCTGAGCTTTGCACCCAGGATCCCAAAAACTATCACGCGTATGTTGCTGCGGTAGTTCGTTCCCTGTCGCTACTTAATGCAACTGCTGATTCAAATGCAACCTTATAAGGCACATCTTCTTAGGCCTAGCCAGAGAGAAGCTTAACGAGTACGATGCATCTGAAAAGGCGTATGAGTTGGCTATCAAGATAAAAGATAGCGATAAGACTGCCTGGCAGGGCCTGGTGGCGCTCTACGAGTCACAGGGCCGGAAAAAGTTGGAGGCGTATGCGACAGCTGTAGAGCGCCTCTGTAGTATCTTTGCGGATACGTATGCATGCCCGCTATACCTCTTGAAGTATGATGATGAAATGACTAACCCTTTTGCTAGTGAGGAGTATGGCCGAGCTCATGGAGTGCTGGAAAAATATATCAACTTTGTGAAATTACATGGGTCGAAGCTTCAATATATCCATGCCCTTCAACTACGGCTACCCACTAGCCCGATCTACAAGTGTGTAGAGGGGTTGGCCCCTAGACCTTCAGAGACATACCTGCGTGTAGCCGAGCTTGCCGAGCAGGAAGAGAAAGAGTTCATCAATCGTGAGATAGGTGAGCGTAGGACTAGGCTAGGCGCAAGGATTGATCAGGTTACTACTGAAGTAAAACGTGAAGCTTTCAACCGCAGTGTACTCAACGAGCTATACCAAGGGATTATTGATTGGGTACATGATGACCAGACACGCCGTTACTATGAAGAAAAGCTGCTTCAGAGACATTATGACCACCTTCGCGTTCTTCCTTCCAAAGAGAAACCCACAGGCAGAGAATTGGTTGTGAAGGCAGCGCGCGATATGGTAATTATCAAACACCCCTTCGAGCTGGCTTGGAGAATTACATTCGACTGGACCGACACCGAAGATCTCTCT